ATCCCACGTGAATATCCTCCCAAAAAACCCCAGATCCTCTAGATTGCAATCATCCAAAGCCCTGTTGAAACCTTCCATTTCTTTTTCATCAGCGTCGAATTTTCCATTTTTTTCTGCATAGCATTGAACGAGGTTAAAGTCCCCTGTTACAAGCCAAGGTAGCTCCACTAGCTCCTTAAGTTGTGCCAGCAGGCCCCAAGTGCGATGTTTGTGTTCCTGTTCAGGCCATCCATATACCCCAGTCAATCTCCACTCCTTTCCATTGTCCTGAATCTTCATGTCTATATGATTGCCTGAGTACCCTTTGATTTCTAATTAAATCTCTTGTTGCCAAAGGACCATCAAGCCTCCTGCTCGTCCCACTGAACCCACTCCAAACCCGTTTGACCATCCCAACTTGCCCATTGTTTCCCTCCACTCATGTTCCATTCGCTTTGTCTCCATTAAGAAGACCACCTGGGGATTTTGTCTTTGTAATAAAGACCTTACTTTTCTAATTGCCGAGGGGTTCCCCAACCCTCGACAATTGTAGCTTAGTACATTCATTGGGCTCGGCGGCTCTGTTCCATGACAGAGTCCGCCTTGTCGCCATCCACATCTTGTAAGTTTCCCTGCTGTTTCTCACTTGTTGGATCTTTGAAACATAGAATTTTAGCTTTCTTCTGGTGTATAATATGATCCACCTCTATCTCCATGTCCCTACTTTGCATCCCCTTACTCCTTTTCTGTGGTGTAATCTGCTTTCCTACTGACGTCCTGTCTTTCTTTTGTTCTTGCCTGCGCCATACATTACCAGTAGGCCTCCTTGTGATTAATCCGAGACCACTTCCCATAGTAAACTTTTCCAGTGCCCCTGTAGACTCCTTTCCTTTCTCCACTTGTTTCTCCCTCCCCTGAATACCCTGTTCCGCTTGTTCTTCCACCTCAGCACTTATTTTGCCTTGCTCTTCCCTCATTGTTCTGGTGTTTGTTTGTTCTATATCCATCGCTTTCCTTTCTCCTTTTGATCCCTCTTGCTCTTTACTTTTCTCCCCATTCTCTTCTCTTGTTAAACTTTCCCTGTCGAAGTTGGATCCTGTGCATTCCATTTCGAACTTCTTCTTCAGGATTGCCCAGATTTCAGCATCCTCCTTCTTTGCAGTAGATGTCCTCCAGTTCCTGGGTCCTGGAGCCCCTGTCCTCATCTCCAAACCAAATGGGTCTACCTCCAGATGAGATGGCTTAGGGCATCGAAGTTTAATATGCCCAATTCTACCACAGGAATGGCAAAAAATTGGAAGCTTCTCATACTTGACTTTATATTCCACTAGTTCCCCGCCAATGTTTAGTTTCAGCTTCTTTTTCAAGGGATTATTGATTGAGAGATTGACTCTGATTCGTAGGTAGTCATCCCACATTGTTCCTGTGCTATCATCAAACCATACCAACGTACCCAATCTTGCTGCAATCTTCTCTGCCCTTGAATCTGAACCCATAGATCTATCATGTGCAGGTCATCTGGAACCGGTTTCTTAATCAAATAACTTGAGGCTAACACCAGAATATTATTCTCATAATGCCATGGGCCACCATAGCATGCCTTATTGCGATCATCCATGTCCAAGAACTGGAATGCAAAAAGCTTATCTCCGAGGTCAGTTATCTGGAAACTCTTTCTTGTATTCCAAGCTTTTGCCAGTGCAATCTTTAAAGACTTTATGTTTGGTTGTTTTTCAGCTACCAGTCTTCCAATCAGGCCCAATCGACGTACCGCTTCCATTCGAACCACATCGACATCTGAGTCTTCTACCACAAGTGGCTCATCTTCCTCGTCCTCAATGTTAAACTTGTCCATCTGCTCCAGTAGATCACCATCCGATCCCGTCGGATTTGCCCCAAGCTCAGGGGAGGTCAAAGACTCCCCCCTCTCCGTACTATCTTCCATTGTGTCAACCCAAGTAGTTGCCAAGCTCCTTACGCTTTCAAGTCCTGTCTTTTTCAAAGCCAACTTCGCAAAAGAATTGTAGTACCTCTCCAGACTTCTGTCTCTTAACTCCCTTTGTGCTCCCTATAAACTGAATCACACACCACCGCTCTTGTATCCTTTTCCCGATCGAACACTAAAACCTAAAACTCCTCGAAAACCCTAGGGTTCCACCGCTAAGCCACTCTCGCTAAACGAGAGAAAAAACTGTCTGTAGAATTCGATCAAAGACAACATTACTAAAAACATCTTCGACGGGTTGTAACTAGATACCCAATGTAATCCATCAATTTAAATATCTAACTAATCCAATTCATTTTATACATGTGACGTCACATCAATGATATTTTATACATACTCGGACTAAATCGGGCTAAACTTATTTAACCACTAACCCTTTAATTCACTTTCTTGATTGAGCCAAAGGTTGAAACGAGTTGTGAAAAGATTTTGTTGGTGATCAACCAATTTGGTTTAATTGGAATCTAAAAATGGGTCCAAATACGAGCATTTGATTTTAAGTGAAGTAAGATCTAATGAATTAGAGTAAATGGCTTTATAGTTTTCCAAATTTTAAATGGTTTTTATTTTCTTTGTTTTAACATGGATTTAAAAAAATTGCATTGGTGGAATGAGTTTATTGTGATCTACAAATTGATATCCATTTTCAATATATTTTGAGAAAATTTTCTCATACCACTCGTTACCACTATGACACCACTTTGTATCACCTTTGTTTTTAACTCAAATTTTAGAACATTTTACCCAAAATGAACTAGTTCATCATAATCTATTGGATCTTTAAATTTTTTAAGACTAAATATACCACCCTATATCACCCTGATATACGGTGGTAACTGGTGGTAAACGATGATGAAATTTAGTAAATACTAATTAGTATAGTCTTACTATCATGTAAAAAACTATTCTACATTATGGTATACTCATACCAACATGACACACTTCTATACCACACGGAATATTCTTATATACTACCAAACATTGTCACCGTGGTATGTACAGGTAATAAATGTCTCCATTTTTTTCTCCAAAATATACCACTGTATATCACCAGGGGCGGAGAGAGAAGGGACCCACCCTGGCTTGGGAGGAAGAATGATAACTAGGTATAATAGTTAATCGGGTATGAAAAATAATAAGTATTTTAATGAGAATTGTTGAGCTTTCAAATATTTTATGTATGATTTATAAGTTGTGTATTGACATATTCAATGTTTTTATAACGAATTATGTACAAACGAGAAATGACAATGGCGCATAAATCCTCCCAAAATTAAAAGATGTATTTGTCCAACTCGAACAAATTTCCACCAAATCATAGCTAATCTATAAAACTAATTTCATTTCAATCAGTAGTACGGAGAGCGTAACGGGAGGCTCCTAAGGAAAAACATGAGTAAACTAGTAGAATAGTTAACTGAGAAGAAAATTTTAACACACTTTTAGTGTGTTTGAATGTTGACCCCATTTTATTGTAAATGAACGCACGCTAAACAAAATCTTAGTGAAGCCCCTATTATTATGCATTATTGACGACCCCATGAGCCCAGCGAGGGAGGTCCTTTTGGTTAAAGGTGTCCAGTTTCCTTTGATTGATGACCCCATGGTTGTGGAATTGCTGGTTCTCAGGGAGGCGCTCGTCTGGTGTCTGGAATTGGGCTTTTCGGAGGTGAGGATGGAAGGGGATGCTAAAGTGCTCATTGATAAGATTAACAAGACTGATGCAAAGGATAACAAGGTGGGGGCTGTGCTGGAAGAGATAGGATATTATTGTCAATCCCATCCTGGTTTTTCTTTTCGATTTGTAGGTCGGTGTAACAATAGGGTAGCCCATTTGGTGGCTAGAAAGGCCCTTTCTTTGTACCCGTCTATGAGTTGTCATTTTGATTTTCGAACCTGGCTTGCTTCCAGGGTGTAACTATTGTTTGCTTATATCAATATATGATTACCTTTTGTAAAAAAAAAATGTATGCATTATTGACGTATTGGTTATTCGTTTCCCTGCAAATGTGTTGAATGTTGACCGGTCCTTCCTTGTATTCGATCGAGCAAAGCAACATGTGTTATTTATTGAAAGCATTAGTTGGTTGAGCAACCAACATGGCACTAAGTAGTAAAGAGCGGCAGCGGAACACTACAGCATTGATGGATTGGCACATTTGTCTTCACAGGAATTAAATTTATGCGGCCGCATTGATACACCAACGGGAGGTTTGTTCCCCCATCGCTAAATTTAAAAGTTAATTCTTCATTTTACGGTCCAACATAGTATTAGACTTGTTATCAAGACGCAAGAGAAACGGTGAATTTTTGTTGCTGACTTTTTTCTCTTTTTACCATGGTCCATGAAACCGTACCGGACACCGTACCGGAAAAGTCAGCGGTAGGGTATTTTATGACAAAACCGTGGTTTAACCGTAGTTCAACCGTTCATACCGTTAAATACCGCCTACCGGTTTAGCCTCCGATACTGGTATTTTATGGTTGAACCACCGGTACGATACGGTTTCATGGACCATGCTTTTTACTTCTCTTTGTGCCATGGTTGTCACGCTGGCTGGCGTGACACTGGTTGAACCTGGTTCAACCTGTACCAGTCATTAAATCAGCATGACACCACCGGTATGACCGGCATGATCGATATACGAATCTCCAAGTAAAATGACCTTATCTTAGTGAATTTAATTGATTGAAAATAATTTATTATTTATTTTATGTGTTAAAAAGTTAAATGTTGATGTTATTTGTTGGATCCAAGTACAAATATTTAGGTATTGACGTTAAATGTCGTGTTTAAATATGAGTATTTGTAAATTATTTGTAATATTAACCGGCATGAACCGGCACAAACCGGTATGTATTACCTGTCGAACCATTCCACGTGCTAAACCGGCACACTGGCATAAACCGATTTGACAACCTTGTTTGTGCCCATTTTCCATACCACGGTTAAGATTTTTTAATTTTCACAATCACGGGGGAGAAGAAAGAAAGTGATTAGTGAAAGAGGAAAGATTGATGAGAGAAGGCAACGGTCCAACGCCCAACGGAAACGGTGAAAACGGGGTTGGCGGAATCCAAACGCCGGGATTCACCGGATTTAAACCCGCGGCGTGAGGTCCGTGGCCAACTCTCCCTCCATCCCTCTCCCTTTTTGCTACAATTTCCAACAACACTCTCCCGATATAGCCCTTGGCTGCCATTGTCCGAGAATCTGAGTTAGACAGTACTACTATTACTACCTAGCTACTCGACGACAGAAGAGCCGCCGCCGCCATAGGCACCGGATAAGAAAGCAAGCAGCGGCGGAGAAGGAGACGGCGGAGCGATGGGGAGATCCAATCCCTGCTTCAAGATTATCACATGCGGGAGCGATTCCGCAGTTGAGAAGGATGACATTGATATCCAAGCTCCCGAGGTACCTGATTTCTCGAGCCGCATTGTTTTTTTTCTTCTTCTTTTCCTCTCTCGAAGCTCAATCGAGCTAGCAATCTCTACTCGAAGTCTACTATCAGTAGTGTAGTTCATGTGATCCGTTTGGGCTTTTGCGACTTCGAGCTCTCCGAGCTCTTACTTGGAGCTTCCGAGTAAAGAGTAATGCTGGTAATGGAAAGAAATTGAAAATTAAACTGATAGCAAGTTTTCGTTCCGGTTAGTAATCGAGATCCAAGAGTGTGTAAGTTGGATTTATTTGCTTTTGTTGATTAACTGCTGGTGAATCTTTTCGTTTGCTGGTTTTTTAGTAGGATCCTCGCGTTGTTGTATCAGGGGAAGTGTTTCTTAGGTATTGGTGGTGATCGTTACTACTTTAGGATTGTTTGGAATTTTTGGATAGAACTTCCAGCTACGTTTCAAAGGTGATACGGACGGATCTTAATTCCGACGGATCAAATTTTCAAATATTCGTTTGGCTATAATGAGTTAAGGGTTGTTTTCTCTTTTTCGTGTATTTGGATGAAACTAAGGCGATCTGAGAGACTCTGCTGGATATTAGCGCTGTATTCTTCTTGTTCTAGTGTATGTATCTGGGAATCTTACTTCAACTGGTATTGTCGGAGATGTATGGAAAAGCTTGGAGAACTTTTTGGAGGGGAGGGGGACTTTTTTATTAATGATTTTATATTTGTATTAATGAAGTGTTGGTTGCTCACAAAATTAGGAGCTCATATATGGTTACAATCGAATATATTCTTAGAGAACATTACAGCAATAGATGAAAGAAAACCTTCAGGTTCTATCTAGAGAAGGCGTGTTTCTATAGCCAAACAAAAGCCTACTCAATAGTCGTACCTCCTGTTGTTTCAGGACACCCTTGGCCACACTCCAGTTTATACAGTCGTTCACCACTTTGTGCATTACCTGGTCTCATGAGCAGCTGGTATCTCTAAAAGTTCATTCATTTCGCTCTAGCCATATGCTCCAAATGATGGAGTGAGGCAGCAGGTTAATGAACTTTGGAAAATTTGTACCTTTAGTAAAATGCCTCCATTGGTTAGGACAGCGTGAAGGGATGGCTCCTATGGAGTTGAGTCTCCAGAAAGAGTAATTACATATACTCCTTGTAAAGTTGCAGTGTAGAAGTTGGTGGTTTGTACTTTCAGCAGTTTGTAGACATAAGCAGCACCTGTTTGGCAATTCCCAACGTCTTTGTTGCAGTCAATCGAGTGTGAGAATCTTGTCTTGATAAACCAGCCAAGTAAAAGCACATATCTTGCTAGGAATAGTATGGCATCCAGTTGCATTAGAGGGAAAAGTAGGTCCAAGCCCTGTAAATTTCTCACTAGAGGGACTTGTCTTTGTCTTCCATGATTTGGTAATTCAAAAAATTGTGGGTTGTTTTTTTACCCTTTCATATAGGAAGTGTATGGTGTGCTTGAGCTCTAGTCAAGAGAGCTAGAGACTGCCTGGTCGTTTGCTTTCAGTCGTCCATGAGTTGGTAAAAGAAAGTTGTGCATATTGTCTGCCTTTGGGATGAATAAACTAATTTCTAATAAGCATTTGCCTAGGTTGCAATTAGGTTGTCCATTTTGTTAACAACTTACTTGGCTATATGCATTCAGTGCCATGGCTGCCAATGCTAGATTGCTAGTGACTTTTTGATGAGGGAGGTATAGCGATTTAACGATGTCGAAATTTGGTACAGAACAAAAGTTCAAGTGACAAGCGTGGGTGGAGTTTCCGGAAAAGATCAGCCCGTCATAGAGTACTAAGCAATAATGTCACATCAGAATCCCCCTCTACAACAATCAAGGAAAGCATAGAACCTGCCAGTCTTAACTATCAACAACAGGATACTCCTTCAGTTCCTGAGAAAACTTCAGTTGTGGAATGCGTTGATGAGAAGCCAACATTGCCAATCCCTGTGGAAGAGAAAGCATCCAAGACCATTACACTCGACAAGGACGAAAAGGAAGCTGATTGCAATATGGAAGAATCAGTTGTTGTCATCCTACAGTCTGCAGCCAGAACTTTTATGGTAAATGTCATTTACATTGCTCAAGATATGATCCTCCGATGCTTATTGCTTGCCTTGTTTTGACATAATTGAACTTTCTGAAATTGGTGCCACAGGCTAAAAAAGAACTTGTCAGGCTTAAGAGTGTGGTGAAGCTGCAAGCTGTTGTTCGTGGCCACCTGGTCAGACAACGTGCTCTGGGAACCCTACGCTGTGTTCAGGCCATTACTAAAATGCAACTACTTGTACGTGCCCGTCATGCTCGTAATCGAGAGTCGAACGTTGACAATGGGAAAATGGCTTCCTCAAAAGCCTTGGTAAAGCCCATAAACTCATATTTATTGTTTTACCATCTTTTAGTGATATATCCTAGTTACATACGTACAGAAAGCAAACAAACGAAGCACCCACTAAGATGGATAGGGGTTGCAGTCTATGTGTAATCTGTAGTGTATATATCCAAAATCCTAGTTTATTTTGAGTTTTTGACTTAACCAATGAAGGAATTGAAACTGTTGACAACATTGGATCGTAGTTACATCTTTCTATTATGAATTGGAACAATTTTCATGAACATAACAAAATATCTTTATTGTTCGATAATACAATTACAAACTGTTGTTCTTTGGATGCCAGCTTAGTTCGTGGACTATATTCCAATAATCTCACCATACTACCCCTTTTTGTCTCAGAAAAAGGAACTCTCTGTATCCAAACCAACGGTAACTTATACTTCACTAGAGAAGTTGCTGAGTAACAGATTTGCTCGTCAGGTATCCTGACGAAATTTTTCTGGTTTCCATGATGCTATTTTGGTTATGGATATGCTAACTCTCCACTCACTGTGAATACTCCAATCCTCTTCTTTCACATTTACAGCTAGTAGGTTCAACACCAAAGTCAAGACCCATCAACATCAAGTGTGATCCTCTACAGCCAAATTCCTCTTGGGTCTGGTTGGAGAGATGGACGTCTGCTTCATCAGTTGAGCCCACACCAAAACCGGAGCTAACACCAAAACCAAAGTCATTCCCTGAAAAGGTGGAAGAAGAGAAACAAGAGGAGCATTCTGTGGTGTCTGAGAGTTCCCTCGTGGTTGAAGATTCGAGATCCCACATTGAGGAAGCTGTTTCTTCGCTCCAAAGTAAAGAAAATCACATTACATATAATGCAAGTGATCCCAAGTTTAAGGAATGCCAAGCATCAACCCATCCAGCAGGAGATAACTCGGAGCAGCCTCAAAGTTCTGTGGATATTCCTTATGATGATGTTAAGGAGACATCAGTTGACTCAAGTCATCTTCCAAGTCAGACGTTGCAGTCAGATGTACATGGTCAACCGGCCCAAGAATCCGAACAACCTGAACCCCCAAAACGATCTTCTATGAAAAGACTTGCCTCAGATGATTTAGAGACTGAAGGAAAGAAGTTTGTTTATGGATCGAGGAAGGTTAGCAACCCTGCATTTGTTGCTGCACAGTCCAAATTCGAGCATGGGCTGGGTCCAGCTACCGATTCAAACAAAAGACACAACCGAGTGCAACAACAAGATGCAGGACTTGAACTTGAACTGCAGAAAGCTTCCTCTGAAGAGACTCTGGCCGTGGCTAAGGAACCTGGTACCTCTGAACACTCGGTCACCAATATTTCAACCGTGCAATATGGCGCTTCGGAATGTGGTACCGAGCTCTCTGTCACCTCGACTCTCGACTCACCTGACATATCGGAAGTTGGAGCAGCAGAACTCGAGCACAGGCAAGAATTGAAAACTTCAGAAGAGGAAACCCACAGCTCTAGTGTGGTAAAGAATGCAGGTGAAGAATGCAAGGATGCATCGGAAGATCCCTTGCCGAATCCTTCTAATTTTGTCACTCAGCCTGAAGAACTCAATGATGTGAAGAGTGAAGCTATCATTAACTCAGTCCACTCACCCGAGGTAGAAGTACAGCGAGAAAAAGAAGAAGCTGAGAGATCTCTGGGAGCTGCCTCTCCCACCAGAAGCCAAATTACCATCCCTGGGGAGTCCCACGGAACGCCTGCAAGTCAAGTGTCGGTAACTAAAAGCGAGAAACGCGAGAGAAGAGCTTCTTCAACTCAGAAAAGGAAGTCGTTGTCTGCTGGTAACAAAAAGTCTGCACCATCCCCTCAAAGTGATTCCAACGCGAGGAACAGCGGGAAGCGGAGGAACTCATTTGGCTCGCCTAAACGAGATGACAACGCCACCAACGACCAAGATCCTCGGCCCAGTAACAGCAGCAGCAACAGCAGCTCGGTCCCACGGTTCATGCAAGTCACCGAGTCCGCAAGAGCCAAGCTTCAGGCTATTAATAGCTCTCCAAGATCGAGCCCGGATGTGAACGACCGAGAGTACATCAAGAAGCGTCATTCTTTGCCAGGAGCAAATGGGAGACATGATTCTCCACGCATCCAGCGGACTGCTTCTCAAACTCAACCAGCTTCAAAGAATGGTATGTTCTCCTCTTCAAAACTCTTTCTCTCCTGTCAACATGAGTGTCGCATGAGGTCTAACGCTTCCAGTCATCTACTGCTTGTCATGTTCCAGAGAAAAAGTGGCAGAGGTGAAGAAATGTAGGATGAAGGCACAGCCCATTGAAGGGTTTGTTCAGGTAACTTCCCTTCCTCTTCCGGATGCTTGATGACGGGAAGATTATATGATATATTGATATACGTACGTAGGGAGAAGCGAGTGGTTTGGAGGAACGAGTAGATAGGTAACCTGGAGAGCAAGATGGAGTTTGTGTGTTGTATATTTGCTGCTGGGAATGGAATTTTTTGGGTAGTTATCATAAATGGTCACAAACCTATTCACTTTGCACAAAACAGTCACAATCCTTTAATTTTGTACGTTTCAGTAACAAAGGTTTGAGCTAATAACGAAATGGTAAATCCGTCCAATCCCATTCCAAATTCCGTCCCAAATTGCCTTGTCAGCATGACAGGTCAGTATAAATAATAATTTAAAATTGGTTAGTCAGTCCAATTGACCCGGCAATCCAACCGGCAGGGATAAACCCTTACCCATCCGATCCCGAATTGGACTATTACCCCCAAAATTCATATTTGCGGGAGAAAGGGAGAAAGAAAGTCGCGACGAGAGGCTCGATATCCCAAACCCTCCAATCTTGACTCTTTACACTATCACTAGCTCGTCCATTTTCTTCCTCGACACTGCCATGCTCTTCCAGTGGTGCTTCCATGGCTAGTGGACACTTTTTGCCTCTATCTCTCTCCTCGTCCTCCCTCTTTCTTTATTCCTCCTATGTCTCCTCTCCGGCACGCTCTTCCGTTGTCGTCGTCGAAATGACGTTGTTCCGTTACCCCAAACTAAACGAACTGAAGAAGAAGAAAGATAAGAATAAATAGTTTCTTCCTCCATGGTCTCGTCGTCGGAAGAAGATGGTCATCACGGTGATTCCGGGTCGAATTAGAAGAGTGAGTTTGTCATCTGCGCGATGTGTGCTTCAAAACTTGTTGTCTCTGAGTCGAATCGGACGTGGGCTCCTGCGGAGGCCATTGAAGAGGGGCGATTGAAACGAGAACAGGGTGATTTTGTTGTCTGTGCTTCAAGTTTGGTCGTTTCCTCTGGCGGGAACGGAAATGCAGAAAGAAAGTCGTGACGAGAGGGGGAGAGTGACGATTCTCCTGTCGTCGGCGACCAGACCTCCTCCAACGATTCGTCCGCCATCCTCCTCCACACCGGCGCTCCTCCAACCGATTTGTCCGCCATCCGACTTTTTGTCGGCAGGACTGTAGACAGGCAGCGACGTGCTGGGGGTGGAGGCGATTCATCTTCCGTCGCTGAATTCCCAGCTAATCGGTCGCATTCCTCCTCTTTCGGCGCCGAGCAGTCCCAGCTAATCGGTCGCCATCCTCCTCTTCGTCGCCGCCGAAAAGTCCCGATCGGCCCTTCTCCTATCATCTACGACGACTTTCTTTCTGCCTTTCTCCCTTTCTCCCGCAGATCTGAATTTGGGGGTAATAGTCCAATTCGGGACCGGATGGGTAAGGGTTTATTCTGGCCGGTTGGATTGCCGGGTCAATTGGGCTGATTAACCAATTTTAAATTATTAATTACACTGACGTGTCATGCTGACGGGGCGATCTAGGACGGAATTTGGAACGGAATTGGACAGATTTACCTTTTTGTTATTAGCTCAAACCTTTGTTACCGAAACGTGCAAAATTAAAGAATTGTGACCGTTTTGTACAAAGTGAATAGGTTTGTGACCATTTATGATAACTACCCGGAATTTTTTTAGCGCACATAATTACCAGAGGAGAACTCCACAGTCGACACTGTTACTTACATACAGAGTTTTCCGATTGATTGTTTGTTTGTTGCTGTTGTTTGTTCAAATTTGTCTGCGTGATAATTACTTTTTCGCTGTATTTTGGTTCCATTTTCTTTCGTTTGTGGCGCTGGATTATGTTTATTGCTATCTATTGTAAAACGGATTTTGTATTTTATTACTGCGTATTAACTGGTTAATGACTTTGAAAAGCCTGTTTGGTTACGTTGAACATTTTCGCGAAATGATGGTGAAGGTGATGCCAATCTGATTATTTGTAGTCTCAACTCAAGTCTCGGAAAAACATTCCTAATATTATACGTGATCTCTAATCTAAGAGCAAAAGGTTCAACCAAACTACCAAAGTGCTGACCGAAACTAAAACAGAGGCCCAATTCACAAAGAAAAAGGAAGGCAAAACATCAATTACGGAACAAAAAAGAGGCCCACGTGTACAGTCCGGTGGCTGGACACGATTGACGATCCTGGCTGGGTGCAGTTGTTGACCCGACTACCGTCCTTTCATTCTTCCAGCTCTAAACCGATTGAGAAAATACGGAGAGATATAAAATATATAATTTCAGAAAATAATAAAATAAAGATAGATGTACAAGAAGAAAGAGAAATGGAAACAAACTAGAACCATGGTCAGGTTCCCAAAAACAGCCATTGCTCTCTCTGTACACTCGCACATAAGAGCGTGTAATTCACAACATTTCATTACCTACGAAATAAGATAATATATTTCCAATAAGAAACATTCGTTGTTTATACTCTTAACTAAATATTTTTGGGCAATGTCTATTTTTTACCCAAACCTTTTTCAGATTCTTTTATTTTAACAAAATCTATTGAATTCCTAAAAATTATCCAAACGTTAACTCTCCGTCAACTTTTTTGTTAGTAATGCTGACTAAGTATGACCATAATGAGTTGACTTCCTACGTGGCGGTCAGAATACCATCATTTACTATTTTTAATAAAAAGATTATCAAAAAACAAAACAAAATCCCACCCCTCAAGTGGACGAAATAAGTAACGGTAACAGAATGAATGCCCAGACTTTGATAAATTATAATACGTTTGGATAATAAATAGAATTTCTATAGGTTTGGTTAAAATAAAAGAATCTGAAAAAGGTTTGGGTAAAAAATAGACATTGCCCAATATTTTTTAATGCTATCGTTGTAGCTTGACAATTTTAGAATTGTTAGGAAAAAAAGTCGAATAGACATAAGGAAACAAAGATTTGATTAGCTCTTTATTGCAATTGGAATTTCGTTTATAGTATGTAACAAGTAATGGAATGTGTTGCAATAACAAAATACTGCCATACCACCTGTAGGTGTTATGTTCCATCGAACATCATCAATATAAATATGTATGGAGTATAGTTTTCCTTCAAAATTTACCCATGTCCCGTGACAAGGCCCAATGGGCCTGCCTCCGCCTATGAGTCCATACACGTGCAGTAGTGAGCGCTCATGGTCCATAGTCACGTTTAATACGTCGACTACCTTAGTAGGGTAGGAATTGATACTTGTATATATTTGTATGTAAGCATCGCACACTTGATCATCAAAATACAAAGACTGTTCTTCCCATCGACTAGTCGGTATTACAGACGACTCTAAGCAACCATTGCGATGAGGAAGAAATTTAAGTTACCAACAACAATTTGATCTGATGGCAATTCCTTATTACCTACATTGATGTTAGTGAAAAATAAGCTTACCATCACTGAATACAATGACTAGAACAAGACCATATACAATGCCTTGGGAGCGAAAAGCAAGTTTGGCTTCATCAAAGATTCTCTGATAAAACAAGGACAAGAAAACCTATTAGCTTGGCTTTGAAGCAGAAACAACATCATGGTACAAAGTTGGATTTAGTAGGAGTGGATCCTGGAATCAAGAAGACCATAATGTCTTGCAAGTAAGCTTAGCAAGATATGGGCAATGAGATATGGTGAGGATAACAGAGCTAACATAAACACTCTCCAACATAAAGCAAGGTAACCAAACTTTCATTGACTATTATGAAAACCTGATTGCCTTAGGAGATGAGCTACACAACTAGCAACATCTTGAAAGCTGTAATTTCACTTGTGCTAGTCATGCTACCTATACAACCATTAGGAAAGATTTTTCATACAAGACTTGTGCTAGTCATGCTACCTATACAACCATGAGGCAAGATTTTTCATATAAGGGCGTTAATAATGTGGTTTAGTTACTAAGAGATCTTAACGATAACTTTACAAGTGTAAGATCCTATGTGTTTTCGAGAGATACACTGTCACCTGTTGATCAAATTTTCCAAAGAATACTTCATCATGATAGACAAAAAAAAATTGAACCCAACAAAGCAAAGCACTTATCGTTGAGGGTATGACCTTGGCTGCACAAGATAGCAACAACATTCAAAACATTAAAGTGAGATCATTTTGCACTCAATAAAAATTACAATTTCATAAAGGAGATGTGCGCTATTGCAAACATGGATAGCCACCTAGGATGACTCCAAGGCCTTCAAATACAACTGGAAAGATACTATAATACACTTACTGTAAAAAAAATGTAGGCACACTGAAGACAAATGATTTCACAAGCATGATTGGCCTAGATAAATGACTCCAAGAAGAACTCCAAAAAGCAGTACTTATGCCAACATATCTCAACCAGCAAGTCCAGATGACTCTCAGCAGTAACTCAAACTCATCAAAACAAACTACAACAACCTTATGAATCTTATGAATGAGAAGAACATCCAAAGGCCTCCACTAAATGTTGTACCTTATTTTTAGCTACACCATTCAACCACAACACTCTAGAACCTTCATGTAAACACTCCCTAATTGTACACAACAAGACACCATATCAATAGGCCTGAAATCTGGATATCAAGGGCTTCATACCACATAGTATTTAAGTTATCTAGTGAGTTACAGAAAAGTGTACCGTATATATTACTATTTCAATAACAAATCAAGTAGAGGAAAATCTCAAAATCATGCAACAATAGTCACTTATATTATAGACTTAGGTCTTAGGAAGATTGTGTGCCCAAATTTAGCTTTAACTTCATTTTAGTTAGCAAATTGACCACAACATATCCCTTTGACTTACTTTATTCTCTAATGTTTGTTTGATCAAGGATATGCAAGTGAGAAGGATGGTTGGCTCTGCTAAGCTCTTCGATGGCCTTTACCATATAGAGAACATGACCCTTGTATTATATAAGAACCATAAACACATCACATGAGCTATGTTAAAGCTTTTCATCTCTGAAAATTTTGACTAGTTCATATTTTACATTCCAAAATCCCTCATTCGAGGCAATTATGTACATCTATAGAAAACAGAGAAGTCCTTGCCTTGTAATCTCTATCATTTTCCGAGGCAGAAGAGACTTCATTTTCCTTGTAGCTCGACTATTACCACACAAGATTTTGGATTAATACATATAGAAATTTGGGGGACAAATCATCTTCGCAATTATGTAGTTTCAAATATTTTCTCAACATTGTAGTCGGTAGATGACTAGATGGCATGGCTCTTCTGTTGCAAACCAAATTTAAAACCAAACCTAAGTTACCAGAGTCATGCCACCATGATGAGAGATAGTTTCAAACCTTTGTGAAAAGAATAAGGAGTGACCAAGGAAGGGAATTTCAAATGAATGATCTCTTTATCGAAATTAATAATTTTCAGGAGCTTTCTTGTGTTGAGAGCCTGAGACACCCCTGTGAGAAGACACCAACATATTCTTGTTGTAGCCAGAGCCTTGAGATTCCAAGCCAACCTTTCGCACCTAGACTGTATTAAAAATATAGTGTATTTATTCAACATGGTTCCCATAATTGTTCTCGGGAACAAACACCCTTTAAAAAACTTCACAACAAAAAACAAGACCTACTAGACCTTAAAGTTTCTCGTTGTCTGTGCTTTGCTAATATTGCAAGCAATCATGAAAGTAAATTTGACCCCAAAGCCATAAATGGGAATTTATTGGATATATAGCAGGGATCAACTTTATAAAATCTATGATCTTACTATTTATGATATTTTCACTTAGGGAGATGTATAGTTCTATGAAAATGATTTTTCACTTAATGACGCCAATCCAATTACTTCTGAACCTTATAACCATCCTTTCAATCCTACATTATAAGATTATTCCATCCTTCCTACAACCCACCCTATCTACCTAGTCCAGCAAATGAACTAGTAGCATTCATCAATGACATCCACTTTGAGTGAGCTCAAAACAAAAGCAGGATTTAGAGGATCAAGACTCACCTTCACCACCACCTCATCAAGTAGAACCTCAATCATCACTTAGAAATTCTGGCATACCAAAACACACTTAAACACCTTCAATTACACCAGTGCAACCAACTTCAACAAATTTCTTCCACTAGTCCTCTTCCACAGCAGTAGACTTTAGGTATCACCTGTCCCATTTTTTATGTTGTGGATACGAAAATTTGTTCTCTCTATGCTTAACATCTCCTCCCATGGTGAATTAAACACTTAGAAAGAAGCAAACATGTTACCTTATAAAATCAAGCAATTAGGGTTGAATTGGCAGCTCTAAAAACAAACCACCATTGGATTGTCCAACTACCTAAATGAAAGAAAGCAGTAGGGAGCAAGTGTACTTATAGGGTTAAATTTTATCTAGATGGGAGTAGGGATGGCAATTTCGACCTGACCTGTTTTACCCGACCTATTTTGGGCGGGTCCGACCCGCCACGTAGGCGGGGCGGGTCCGACCCGCCACGTAGGCGGGGCGGGGCGGCATGGGTAGTCTTATCGACCCGACCTGCCCTGACCCGCCCCATTCTCGACCCGTTCTTGTCTAAATTACATGTAATTTTAGTCAAATTACTTAGGATTTTCCTTTTATTGCATCATATTTTAGCTATAGGAAAGTTGTAAATTAGTGAAAACCTCAATTTCTCCAATAATTTAACTACAATTATCATAATATTGTTTGTTTTCTTAGTCTTATAATAAAAATAACGAATATTTCTAATGTTTTTAATATAAATTGCATACCCATTGGGTCTACCTACCCCGACCCGCGACCCGTGATCAATTACCCGACCTGGACCCGACCTGCCACAGGGCGGGTCTGGGTACCAAAAAACCCGCCCCGGACCTGCCCCATTGCCATTCCTAGATGGGAGTGTGAAAAGGTAAAAGGCCAAACTTGTGGTAATGGATACAATCAACAAGAAAATTTTGACTACCAATATACTTTTGGCTCAATTGTCAAGATGGCAAAGATTAGGATAGTTTGGCCATTCCTAAAGTATAAAAATTGCATGTTCAGCTACTATATGTGAACATTCATTTATGCATGGTGACCTTTATTAGGAAGTTCAGATGAAACTTTCACCGGATTACACGATACCAACAGAGATTGTAAACCCAATCAACCACGTCAAGAAGTCTTTATATAGTCTCAAACCAGCATCCGGACAATGGTTGTCCAAACTTGCAAATCAGCTTCACATTCAAGGGTATCAATCCAACAATATGGATCACCCCTTGTTCTACAAGGCTACTGGTACTTCCTATACACGGATTTTAGCTTATGTGGATGACTTGATTGTCGGAGAGAATGATCTTCGATGAATTACCAATGTACTTTTCCATATGGATGAACAGATGACACGAAGGATCAGCCACACGTTTTAGAGGCGTCAATAAATGTTTGACCGATATCATGGTATAACAGGAATATCAATATCATGACAAAATAAGATGTTTTATTGTTGACACAATAAATATTTGATCGATCTTGTTTTCTGATTTTCGTTTTGTGATTTGACCTGAAAACATCATGTAATTATTCTCGTATCTAACTATTCCCAGTGGACATGGATGGAAAAAAAGCTACACAAGCAAATTTATCACTAATACTCCACGCGCTGAACGAAGAAAACCTGCGGCGCTGGAGGTAACCAACTGATTTGGGTTTTTATTTTCCTTTGTTGAAAAATCAGCTTTAAGTTCTCCACCACCCTCCCCTCCCCACCCCACTCGACTCCATCGATAACACAGGAAAAAGGGCCACAAAACGGATCCGCTTCGCCAACACAGAGGATCTAGGGTTCCTCCCTTCCGGATCTCTCTCCGCCAAATCTCCTTCCTCCCCTTTCCATCCCACTTCTCTCTCGCCGATCATCGTCGCGATAGGACGGATTTGATTTCCGGTTGCTGGTTCAGTGATGTTTCTGCGCCATAATTAGGGTTATCGAATCCTGGAAAAAAGTGCCGGCGATGAACTTTTTTTGTGATTTAAGACATATCTTGGTGAAGAGAAATTGGAAATTAACGAACTGACAGCGGCGGAAGGGGAAGGAGTCACTGAAGTTGGAAGAGTGTCGTGGTTGGTTTCTGTAAATATGAGAGGATCAGAAAAATCGAGAAGGGTTACTTGGGCGTCGGATGTTAATCTTTGTCAGGTAAACAAATAACTGTTTCCAGAAAAAAGATAGACTCTTTAATCGAACGAAATGGTGGGACGGAATTGACTGGAAGTAACAGAAATGTGTGGGATTTGGAGTTTCATCGTTATGCTGTTTTACTTTGTTCAGAGTGGCTGTGGGTTTGTTTAGTTGAACTGAAGCATTTTGTGGACTCCCGTCGTTCTTTGCTGCGATTTTGGTTAACTCTGCATTGCTGAGTATTCTTTCCTCTTTTTGTGTTGCATGAACATCTTTGCCTTTGACAATCCATGACCTGTTGTTCTATTTTGATTGATGGATGCACTTTTTTGAATTTTGTTACATTGGGAGAATGAATGATCCTGTGGAGGGACGCTGAAGCTTGTATAGGGAAATTATGGTCTTGATTTGAGTGGCACTTTCGAGATCAGCAGGAGATGAATGTGGGTGTTCATTTTGGGGAAGAATAACTAATTGAAGCTGGATTGTTGTGGTTCATGAGGATTTATGTCCCTCGGTTCTTTGTGCTTTTGCATGATATGCAACAAGTTTTGAGATTTAAGCATATGTGCAGCCTCTTTTGTCTCCTCTTTTTATGCAGTATATGATTTAGGTGCCACTACTGTTATGTGGATCACGCTGCAATTAGGTTCCCGAGTCATCCTTATCACCTCTTTTTACCCACTATATGATTTAGTTGCCACTACTGTTATGTGGATCATGCTTCAATTAGGTTCCTAAATCATGCTTGTCTACCCGTGAAATAGGTTTTGTTTGAATGTTGTGAATTTCTTACCTTTCGAGAACCCTGGATGCTATACTTTGGCATTGCTGCTTCTTCAACGCATTGCAGGCTAAAAATATTTCCATTGCATGTTTTCACATAAGCGAGGATAGACTACAATATGTGGGAAGATATGAAAGGGGGTAACTTAGTGAGATGTTGTGGAGGTTTCAAACTCAATTGTGAAAATATAGCATAAAAGTGGAGTGCGTAGACAGAGTGTGGCACTTTCTTGAAAAGTTTGAGGTAAAGGTAGGTGACAGTGACTGAAGGCTGTTTGACTAAAGGAACAAAGTCGCCTACTTTTAATGTTTTGTAAAACTCATTGGGGTGGTCAAGTTGAGCTGTTAATATGATTAGTGTTAGGGCACTAGGTTAGTTATCTGCAGATTTTTCAGCAGGCCTAAAATTAGTGTTAGTTTTCTCTTGCTAGTAATATTGAGGCATTGGCTAAGCAATATGCTATTAAAAGAATTACTGAGCTATGTAGCCATTAGATAGATATATGAGATTGCTAGCACTAGGTAAGTAACATGCTTAAGTATCATGCTTCTGTGGCTTCTTGAAAGTCATGTCATTGACATTATTCAACAGGCTTAAGTCTAAAATATTTAGTTGTTCAATTGCTACTATGCAGGTTTTTTCGGAGGCAAAATGTTTTTAAGGTTGTTGTAGTCAACCATTTTGGGCTCGGTTGCATGTCAATTATGTCAGAAAATGTTAACCAACAGATGCCGCATCATTCTCTTGAAATGTTGCACCATTTATATGATTGCGAGATCCGAGTCGAGCATGTCTGTTTGGTTGTTTTCTGAACAACTATTGACGGTAATGAAAACCTTTTACAGGTTGCCTGGCACTCGAAAAATTCGAGCTGTTAATATCTGTTTTGGCCTTAACGGTTTTTGTGGATCTTAAGCATACATCCTGACTGTAATTTCATTGTTATCAGCTCGGGAGGGAGAGGGAGGGAGGGAGAGAGAGAGAGAGAGAGAGAGAGAGAGTGAGAGAGAATCTATAGTTTTCACTTGGTGATGATGTTGCATTCATTATTTATGTTATTTTTTCTGCATATTCATATGTTGAGATATTACTTCCAAATTCCTCAGTCTAGCTGTATGCTTGGAAGACCTTATGTTTTCAACTTAAGCTTGATGCTCTTTTAAACTAAGATGGTGATTTTGGTTGATGATTCAGGTGCGCCTATTTCTAACGGAAGAATCTCCTTCACAAGTTGGAGGAGTAACCGGTCAAGATCACCTTCAAGCGAAGGCCTCGTGGGTGTCCCATTCAACCGGGACAGCTAGTGATGATGTTCTCCCTCCTGGGTTTGAGCTAGCCCAGTCTTCGAACCAATCACAAATCAAAGCATCCGATGTTCCTGTCATCAAATGGAGGTCTCCACCTAGGGTATAGTTCACTCTTCTCTATGGGGCTTCGCCAAACAACAATAATTCCATTTCTCCTTTTCAGATAGTTCACTGATTTCCTGAACTCGTTGTGCAGTTTACAATGGACGCACAGTGGATAGTTGTTGCTGGAGAAGAGAGCCAGGATGTTGAGGCTCAAAACCAACGAGAGATGCGTGTGCTTGAAGCTGTTTATCCTCGCCCTTCTGCCATCCCAACAAAGTTCATAACTCAATCTTTTGCTTGTCTCTCCTTTCCCATTTCTTTCACAAAGATTACTTCTTTAACTGAAAATTTCTTTTTTCCTTGCAGTCCGGCTTTTCCTGGAGAAACAGACTCCCATCATAATGACGACCATGTTCTGCTAATTCCCATCGCTGTTATCGAGGATGAGGACTCCTCTGATATTGTGGGAACCATGAGTGCACAACAACCACAGTCATCGTCAGCTCCTGGGGTTGCACCTCAATTTGCCAGCACTGCTGCTGAACCTGATGTAGTAGCTGCAGCATCGGCTGCATTTGCTGCCATCAACAGAAGCAACGAGCAAGGAAGCTTGATAGACCATGACTTGCTCATCAAGATTCTCAGCAACCCGAAACTGATCGAGAAATTAGTGAAAGATCACGGAGCCTCTGCTGCTGCCACCACCTCAGCTGTCCAAAACTCGAAACAACCTTTCATAGCTTCATCTGAACCGTTTTACGGTCATGCCAACATGGGAGGACGAACGATTCCTCCTGGTCCAAATGTTCATGCGGCTCCACCCCCCGGACCGTTTATGAACATTCCTCCACCTGTGGTTGCCACATCAGCTTCTTCCGGCGGCCCCCCACCATCCATGAAGGATTTCAGTTACTATAAGAACTTGATTCAGCAGCATGGAGGCGAGAGACAACCAGACCGATACGGTGGTCAACAACAACCCCAACACCAACAACATAGACAGCAGCAAGATCAACTAGGGTATTCGAAATCATCCAAGGATTCAAAGACCAAAATCATGAAACCCTGTCTCTATTTCAACAGCTCGAGAGGGTGCAGGAACGGAGCGAACTGCGCCTTTCAGCACGACAATGCTGCTCCACCTCAACCGAGAGGGAGCAGTATGGCCTCGTCTGAGATGCAGAGCTCCAAGAGGATGAAAATGGATAGAGAGATTAGCAGTTGAAAGAGTTCCGTGACTACATGTAGTTTATTTTACATTTGGGGGAAAAGCTTGTTGCAGCTGTACATTTTTTAGGCGAGAGAGGCTTCTATGGCCTGTTTTGTGCTGCAGGAAATTCGCCTTATTTGTTCCCCACAGCGAAGTTTTAATTTACCAGGGATGCACCATTCATCAAGTCTCAACTTGCTTTGTTTTGCTTCTTTCTGAATTCTTGGATGTTAAATGAACTGGTTAGTAATGTTCGGTTGTATCGGTCAAATCATGTACCAGACCGGAATAATGAACATTGACGGTTGAAGCGAAATAATGAACATTGAGTTACGTGATTTTGTAACAGTTTCGCTTGGACGGAACTTATGGAAGTAAGTAGTAGTCTTTTTCAATCATCTGGGCTAAAAGCCCATTGGACTTCTTCCGTCGTAGTAAGCCCAATATCCCGCCGAACTAACCAAATGGAGAGGAGAGCAGAGACAGCTCCGTCGCTCTCATAAAAAAGTTCAGCTGGGATTTCTCTCTCTCCGGCTCCGGCGTTCAGTCAGTGTCAGCCAAAATCGACGGCGAGTTGAGGAAGAAGAAAGGTAACAAGGGAAATTGAGAGAAGCAAGCTGAGATCATGTTGAAGTTTCTGTCGAAGGTGAGGATAGAGTTCAACGCACTGGACCCGCGCCTGGCTTCGTGTATGGAGTTCTTGGCGCAGTGCAACGCTCGCAAGGCTAAAGAATCGAATCCGGCCTGCCAAGTCAAGCGCCGCACCGACGACCACCCGCCGCAGATCACCGTCACTTTCGTCAACGGCGTCGAGGAGGTCTTCGATGGCACCCAGACTACTGCGCAGACGATACGGAACATGATCCTGGAGAAAGGCCAGTACCTCGAGACGGAGCAAATGTTTCGGGAAGCTGGGGAGAAATGGCCGGTTGTCATCCCTGACGAAGAGCTCAATATCCCTGCGCCTGGAACCAAGGTTTGTTTTCCCCTTTCTCTTCTTCATTTCCTTGAATCCATGACCTATGGTTTGTGTTCTGGTGGCGTGTCCTGCCCGTTCAAATAGTGTTTATTATGGGGTTTTAATCTCTTTGGTTCAATGCTGCTTATTTATGCTTGGCCTTGTGAATCATTTGGCTCCTTCCCTTGTTGAATTTTGGTGGCATCTTTGTTTTGTCATTGGGGCATTTCGTCGAACAGGTGGTGAGCTTAGGTGTTCCTCTTTTTGCCTAGCTTACTGTGTGTTAGTGGAGTCACTAGTTGGATTAACATGATTGCCATGCCTGCCTGGTTTATCCTCATTTGGTGAAATGTAGATAGAACATCAGTCTATCTCTCTACAGTTACTGTCCTTATCTGCACCTGCACTATTATGAGATATATTCTGCAACAAGAAGCCTCGTTTGTTTAGCGGGAACCTGATGATAATACTGGATAGACCAAAAAAAGATTTGAATGAAGATTTTTTTTTCCCCGAACGATCTGACCCATGTAGCAGGTCCTTAAGCTGATTAAATCTCCTTTCTTCCAAGCCTGAATGTCTCAAATGCTAGGATTCAGCTTTGTAAAACCAAGCTTTTCATGTCTGGTTATGTTTTGATTTACGTCGTGGGATTTAGTTCATTGCATATTTGCTATTTTTGCTGTTCAATAGCCGTTTGTGTTCTAATCTTCCTTCTGCCTTTGAATGGAGAACTGGACATGTTCATACATCTACCAGTAGCAATGCGCTCTATCTTCATCTGCATTGTTTTTTAGCAACAAAATCCCCTAATTGTCCAATTCTTTGTCTGCTGATGCTACTCTTTCATCTTTGACCCCAGCCAAGGAAAGCAGAAGACAAGAAGTGATATCCATCTCTTTTTCAGCCGGCACTAGTTGACGGAATCTTCAGCAGAAGTGCGACTCTCATTGTTTCGATAAGATCATAGATTAAATTTTACTGCTGCAGCTGCTGCATATGCTTGTGACTGAACAATCATCAGCTAGAGGCTAGCCTACTTTTCTCTATACAAACATCTCATTTTTAGGATGTTACTGATGTTAAAACTGTTTATCAAGGTTCTCATCCATTATCCAACGGCAAACTGTATGGTCCCTTCAATAAATGCTGAACTTGTGCATTGAATAGCTCGAGTAATTTACGAGCATCGATCCTAAAATTGATAGAATAAATTGCTCTGTCAACAAGAGAACGAGGCTTTACTACTGCAATTGCTTTGTCGATGAGAAGACGAGGCTTTATTAGTGTTTATTGTAGATACAGCCAAGTGAGCCTAAGTAGGGAACACTCTGTACAACTGAAGTTTCAAGACGAACTTCTCAGCATCATTCTGTACAAACAAACAACTCAAAATCTGGACAAGATAGCTCATCTCTCAGCAGCATTCTGTACACACAAACAACTCAAAATCCGGACAAGATGCCTCTTTCATCAGTCACCGTTCTAATCCTTCATCTATCATTAAGGAAAATGACGAGAGGGATACAGTTTTCAGCGGTCTTCTCGACGAACTCTGTTAGGGTCACCCATCATATCCATCATCATCTTCTCCGGTGAATCTTCCCAGTTCGAGAAAGTCTTCAGATCGACCTGCAAAACAAAAGTTGAGAAAGATAAAATTTGTGTAATTTGAGACAGTTGTCTTTAAACAGTGAACCTAGTCTGAAGCTGCAATAGAGGGCACCTTTCGTCGCTGCTCAGTGAAAAGCTCCTCCCGTTTCTTGTATGAAGTTTGTACTGACCTTGCCGCCTCTCCACCAAGTCCCCAGACCTCGACTTCTGAAATCAAAGCCTCAACTGGGAGAAACCCCTGCGATATGGAAAAGATTAGTTAGCCCACTGAGAAGATCCACTTGGTTTTGATGAGAGCTGTATTCGCAGCCAGGAGTAATTACCTGATTGGGGAAGAGGGGACCATTTTGGTAAGTCTTGTCAACTGCATGGTGACGAATAGTAACCCTAGCAAAGTCTTCATCGATATATAGCCTTTCGTTCCCCATTGATCCACCAAACCCGATTCCAGCAGGCTTTGGGTGTGGATCGTATCCCCTAGCATGATGCAGGTGGCTGTAAACAAAGTTCTTCTCTTTTCCTGTTAAACAGATGCAAAACAAAAGCTTTCAGAACCATTCATCACAAGAAAGATCAATGATAAAGGGATCAGAAGAAGGGTTTAAAGTTTCAGATTACCAGAAGGTGGAAATACATGGAACACAGGGCAGATAGCATATAAAGTTGCAGAGGTTCCATAAAAACTCTCTTTGTTCTCCAACCCTTGCTGCGTAAGAGCACCTATAGTCCATTTCTTTGCAGTTGAGTTATCCCCATGAGTATCTCCAGAAGTAGCAGACACCAGGATAAGTAATGGACCATGATAACCTTCAACATTAGACCAGAATCTATTCAAGCCCTTGCCGTGAACAGATGACCTACATAGTAGAATGAACGGAGGTCAATCTAGAATTCCTTTCTAAACTTAACAATAGAACTTCAGTTTCAAAATGGGATGCATACATAAATATATGTACACAAGCAGTGTAGGAAAACAAACCGATAGAGAACGTGTTCATCTGATTGATCACCATCACTAGGGAAGTATGGTTTCAGAATTTCCACACTAATCGCGCTCCTGAGAGAAAGAGAAATCGCCCATGCACGTCCACATGTCAAGAGATACGACCTGCGTGCACTCGATGATACAGACCCTCCAGGAATCGAGGTACCTGGTGCAGACTCATCCTACCAGTTCATCAAGAAAATCGTCATTCAGGGACTTGAACGTTACAAGAGAAGAACACAAAACATCATAAACATTACTCTCTTACCCTTGAAGAACCAGAATTCTGCAGTCTCGAGTTGATGAACTGTGTCAAACAATCTGTCAAGCTTGGAGCAGTCGCCAATGCCCAAGCAAGGAACTTCCCAGCAGGAAGCTGAACTTCCAGACCAGCTAAATCACAATCCCAGAAGTCTACTCCATCAAGACCATCACAACACGAAACAACAGCAGACAACGCCAGATGACTGACATCCGGAAGGAATAGGGTTCTCTCTTTCCCATTCGAAGTTTTTGAATCCCACAGCATCGCCCAAGACATCCATAGCAGAACGAGCACATCAGCTGGTAACAGATAACCACTCATCTTATAACCACCATCATCCATTGACTCAAACTCCAGTTTCGAAGGAGACCCAGATCTCGCCAGCGTCGTAGCAAACAGTCTCATCAGAACGTTGAGTGACATCGAAGCAGTCATCCTTCCACAGCATTTCACGTAGCCTTTCACAAACTCAATCCAACTGATCCCTTCCTTCTCCGCAAGGAAGAATTCGTCCACTAAGGACTTCCCCAGATGATTCAAAACTCCCAGAAACGAACTTGGGTCGGGCGCTTCAGTTGATTCGAAGTCTGGGGTTTCGTAACTAACACCGAAGCATTTCTAAGAAGGAAAAAAGGAATTGGAAAAACTCAATCAGTAAGATAATCCAGCTAGAGTATTGATCGTGCTCGTGAACTTATGGAGGAAGTCATTTACGAAGGAAAAATTCGATCCGTTGGTGTTGGATTAGACTTTTAACCTGGAGTGATTCAAGAGGAATCGCGCTGGTTTGAGGATCGGCAAGCTTCGCGAAAGAGTTCTGGAGCATAGGAAGTGCTCCAACAGAAGCTGCGAGGCTTTCCGCTTCTCTTTGCTCGCTCGAACCCGCCTGCTGTGTCGACGACGAAGCTCCCATTTTCTTCCCCACGGCGTAAGGATTTCGAATCGTATGGAAAATCAAAATTCTCCCTTTTTCCGTTCTCCGCTTCCCGTTTGATTCTCGAGAAAATACCCAGCGAGCTTGATTGCCTATAAATCTAACCGACATTAACCGCCGCTTTTTACCGGACCGGACAGCCCTTATCCGGTTTATAAATTATAACCCGCTGCCGACTAATTCCGGGTCCTGAATCTGATTTCCGATCCACCGTCCACGTAAACGAGAAGGTAGATAAAGAAAAGAGGGAGCAGCAGATGGGAAAAATAATTCAGAGAAATCGTGGCCTAAACTTTTCCCGATTTCCGGCGATCTCTAGGGTTTTTGATTCTTTTCTCTACAGCGCGGCAGAAGAAGAGAGCAATGGCGGTACTAGGTCCTTACTCAGGCGGAAGCACCCTCTGTCTGGTAAATTCCTTTTTCCTTCGTTCTTCCTGTAATCA